TTCATCACATGGGTATTTAGGAAATGGACAACAGTGGTAGGTTCCACCAACTAGGTCTGTGAATTTTCTCGTCTTGGCTTTTTGCTCATTTTTTAGTACAAGGACTGGATTCCTTCCCATGAAGCAGGACTCAAATCCAACCAGAAAGCAGTTGGTTACTTCCCAAACAATTGTGATTGCCCACTGGGCACATATGACTTGCCAGGACAGTATTGTAGCATCCAGGATACACAACTGACTAAGACCTTGATGTGTTTTCTCCACCAGCAGCTTGTGTATTGCCTTCCGGCACTATGAACATTAGCAGCATGCTGGAAGTTTCCAACTCAGTTCCAGCTTGAAATCTCTGTGTCCTGAACCTAAAGTGTGCTGTGCCATCAGTAATGGCATCATATCATATAATTCTAGTAGACAACCAAGAACAGTGGAAATAGCACAGATTTCTGTTTTTTACTTGCTGGGTAATATCTGTCAAATTCCTAAGTCCAAATGACACCATTGCAATGAAGCTCATATAATGAGAAGGTCTCATGTAGTCCAGGGTGGCCTTGAAATTTTGATCATCCTACCTCAACCTTCTAAACACTTGGGTTAGAAACATGCACCACTGTTTCTATTTTATGCAGTGCTGGAGAAAGATAGAACCCAAGACCTTGTGGGTAATAAACAAGTACTCTACCAAATGAACTCCATCGCCGACCTCATCCTGCCCCTCCTGTTGATTATTCCGCAGGAACAGTAAGGACTTTGGCTCCAGCCTGAGCCACAGACTGAAACTTGCCAATTCTACCCCTGGAAAGGACATTGACTAAATTCTTTTTGTCCTTTCCTTAGATTGGTCAGGATTTTGATAGGTAAGGCCTCATTTACAATAATTTAAGTACTTTTGAGGTCATGCATTCCCTGGAAGTATACAAGTGTGTCTTACAGACAATATGTAGAAAGATATGGTCTGCTCAAATACACCTTTTCCACTAATTTAACCAGTGCTTCCTAGACACTAGAAATGTAATTGGCATATGATGAATATCTGATAGATATCTGGTGAATAAGACTCAATGGATGAATAACCAGCCTTATGGATTCCTAATTGAAATTCTACCCCCCCCAGAAGCATACTGAGACAAATAATTTGACCATGAATTAGTTTATCCTATTTACTGTCAACCCCATAAAAAAAAGTGAGATGTCTAATTGGAGATGTAGTATTTAAATCAAGATGCAAACAAATACATAATACATAGATACAAATGAAGAAAAGTGTACTACCTTATAGAATTACAGATTCTTTCCCATCTCAAACTTCCAAGAAAGTCCAAAAGAATATGTTAGCTACCTCCTTTTATTAAGATGAAGGAGATGATAAATTAATTATAAAATATGGGCACTGCAATACTTAAAAGAGTCTTTTAAAATAGTTTATCCTAGAAAAAGTGAAAAGCCTGATATGACAGCTCTTTTGCCTTGCTGTCCAAACAGCTAATAAGGTAATTATGATTACACTTGATTTTGTAGACTTACTATCAGAAATAACCCTGCATTCAGCCTTAACCTTCACTAATCCATCTATGTTAACTGCAAACATGCCACTTCCCTGAAAAACACCAGGAAAGAGAGTCAGTTACAGAATGGAACTATTAAATACAGAGACAGATTTAAATGACCTCCCTGGTAAAGTACATATACCAGTAGACAGCCAAATTAGTTTGGGACTAAAAGGAACAAAAGGAACAAAATCCAGACCATGAGTCTACCTCTGTTCCTTCCCAGTCCTGTTCAGTCCCAGCCTTAAAAAGCATTGGATTAATTTCTTTATTAAGAATTTGAGTCTCACTGAAGTAATGATGTGAAAGTGGTTTACAGGTTGTAAAACCAAAATCAATGAAGAATTATGTTCATACTCCAATTAAGATTAAATTAACTCTATCTAAATCTTTTTAAGGCGTTTCAATATTGAAAAGAAAGTTGTTTGTCATTATGCTCACCTAACGAAAATGCCTTTCAATTTTATGATTGTCAGTGTGTAATATAAAATTTAGATTTATTTATTTATTTATTTTACCCTCCTCTTCTCTTCCCCTCCCCAATCCACTCCTCGTCTGTCCCTATTCAGAAAGGGGCAGGCCTCCCATGGCTATCAACAAAGCATGACATACAAAGCTGCAGTAACACTAAGCATCTTCCCTTGTATTAAGGCTGGGCAAGGCAATCCAGTATGGGGCATCAGTTCCCAAGGACCAGCCTAAGCATTAGGGACAGACCCTGCTCCTATTGTTAGGTGTCCCACAAGTAGATCAAACTACACAACTGTCACATATATGTAGAGGGCCTAGGTCAGTCCCAGGCAGGCTCCCTGGTTGTTGGTTCCCAGTTCCTATGAGCCAGGTTAGTTGCTTCTGTGGGTTTTCTTATGGTATACCTGACCCCTCTGTCTCTCTTCAGCAGGGTTCCCCAAGCTCAGTCTAATGTTTGGCTGTGGGTCTCTCCACCTATTTATGTCAGTTACAGGATGAAGGATCACTGATTACATTTGGGAGGAGAAATGCCTTTAGTTTTTGAGAATGAAGAATCCATGGCTTTTTACCGATCCCATTTCCTACCTCCAAACACTTAAGCTCTGAAGTTTGGATGTTCTTCTTAAGTTCCTATGTAAATAAAATAATTTTAAAATCCAAGATAACAGACCTGTAAAGTTTCTAACAGTTTCTAAGCTACTAAAAATGATGCCTTATTTGACATTTAATGGTCACATTAAAGCAACAGTCTTTGTCTTTCCTTTAAAATATTTTTTGCATGTAAGATACATCTATCCCTCCTGTAATCAGTTATGTCCCAGAGCATGAGAGTATCCTCAACTCATGCACACAGCAGTAATATTATAAAGTAGGTTTGCTTGGAAGTAATAGGTGTGCTAGAATATTCTACCATGCTGAATACCTTTAATGTCTCCGTGTTAAGAAGACTGATTACATACTAGCAATAGTGTATAAAAGCTCGAGTATATAACACCGATTCAATTACTTAGAATGTTAAATGCACTGAGAAAAGTGTGTTTTTATTTTGCTTTTCTCACAAATGCAAAAAAAAAAAAAAAGAAGCTGTATGGATCATTTCTCCTCTTAGTCTGTGCACCCCTGTGGAGAAGATGCAAGCATGAGGCTTCCTTTGAAGTGAATGGAATCTCCACACTCAGATCAGCTCTGAGGGTATATAGGAAAGAACAAGAGATGGGCCACATGAAGACAGACATTAGCATTTAAATGAGTCCGGGATCAAAAGAAAATTTATGCATAGAAATATACTAAGATTTGAAAACGAAGGCATGAGTTTTCAATAATCCTAGGTCAAACCACCTTGCATTAGAAGTAGGTCATTCTTGGTGTTAGAACCAGAAACATTAGCAAATGTCCAAAAAGCCTAAAGACTAGGTCAAAATAAGAAACCCATGTCACACTGAAATGCCACAGAAGCAAGATATTGCCCCTGAGGTCATGAAACATCCATGCATCTGTATGTGCCTCAAATCCAAATTTTCGTACTATGTTTAATACAGGTGGATGGATAAAAGCAAACATAACAAGGACAGTCATCACAATGCATATTCCAGCTATGAATCAGAGCACAAGTCTTGCCGATAAATATAGCACAGGAAAAATAATCTTCTTTGAATATAAAATGTACCTGCCACGGAGGAATCCAAAATAGAAACACAAGTCAGGTTGTTTCAGCCGTAGTTACCACCTGTCAATCAGAGGCAATCTTTAAATAATGCCTGTGTTCGAGTTCCTGAGCCAGATTGAGTTGAAGTGATGTTTGGTTTTTATAAAAAAAAGTTAGTTCACTATGTAAAACGATGTCCATATCAAGTAGTAGAATATGAGAGGATGGGGTGGAAAGACTTCCCGGGAAGTTCTTGAAGGCGAGAGAGGACATGGCTCAGCAGGGTAAAGTACTGAGGTCCCCTACATACAAGGAGTTGTCCAAACAGACTTATAAACTCGCAGGAACAATGAATTTGGAAGACAGGAAGGTATCTAATTAGACTAGTATTCGTGTTCCTGCCAGTCTCCAGTGAGAATAAAGGACAGAAATGTTGACATCAGAACTATAGAGTTTTCTAAGATGATCTTTCATGGTAAGTCACACAGAACCAGATGTTGTGAGGGACAGCGGTGATGAACAGGTCCAAGCCACCAGGTAACCTTTGATTCCCTCTTCAATCATCCATGATAAATGCTGTTCAGTCCGGGCTGAATGAAGCAGATGATTGACAGCTGTATTGAATGCAAACTCCTTGACTTTCTTGGAGCCCTTATTTTTTCCTCCACAATACACCATAAATTCATGACATGTGAATTCCCAGTCTTGCTGTCACCTATGATGAATGGCATGGATGGTGCTGGGAAGCTGTGAGACACGCCCATGAAATGAGCAGGGTATGAACCACAGGAAAGGGTGGGTACCAATGTGACTTCCGGAGAACCACTCCTATTTAGGTGCAGAGAGACAAGGGATGGATTCTAGGCAGGGAAGTTTAAGTAACAAAATCCCAAGGGCAAAGAGGAATACATGGATTAAAGAATGAGAAACAGACAACAATGCAGAAACTGGCTGACCTAGCACAAAGAGCTTTTGAGAAAAGTAAATATGAGGATCTTCAAAAAGTGCCAAGAATTTGCATTTATTGTGTAGACAGTAATAAGTGGCTGAGTATCTCAGCTGAAACCCGGTTTAGATTGTGAGGAAACACTTGTGGAAAGCAGCCTTTGAGAGAACCAGATTAAAGCTTCTGGCAGGATAGGGATGAAAACAAAGAGAGAAACATCATTAGTAAGGTTTCGTTGTTGGTAGAACACTAGTAAGGATGAATTACTTTGGAAAACATTTTTTTCTTTCCTTTTGGTTTTTCAAGATAGGTTTCATTTTATAACCTTGGCTGTCCTGGAACTGAACTCACTCTGTAGACCAGGCTGGCCACAAACTCACAGAGATCTGCCTGCCTCTGCTTCCTGAGTGCTGGCATTAAAGGCATGCGCCACCACCACCTGTCTGGAAAACATTTTTTTGTTACCTGGTAAAACTGCACAATAAGAAACCTCATGGCTCAGTACTTCTGTCCTTGAGATGCTCCTTTGGTCTATTAAAAAAAGAGATGAAAATCAGTGAAGGACTGAATCAACATATAAAGCACTCTAGAATATGTTAATTATTGGTAAACAAATAATAATAATTTGCAAAAGAACTTATGTACACATAGATACATACATATTCATATATACATACATTTTGTTAGTTATATGTATGTGCTTATATAGGTTTCCTTGTGAGTTGTTTTGTTTGCCACTATAACTATTTCATTCTTATTTGCTTCAAAAGATCAAAAAAACAATTACACATTGTTTAGTATGGTGATTCAAGTGAAAAACACCCCCCAGCCATGGGCTCACATATTTTAATGCTTGGTCCAGAGTTGGTGGCTCTGAAGAAATTATGGGGCTTTTATAAGTCTTGATAGAGGAAGTGTGCCACTGGGGAGGGCTGTGAGGGTTTACAACTTCATCTACTTCTAGTTTCTTGTCTGCTTCTTGAATGTAGATAGAGCTGTGAGGTCTCAGCCTCATGCTCCAGCCACCTGCTGCTGTGCCTCTGCTGACATCAGGGACCCCTCCTTAACTCTCTCCATAACTCCCGACATATCAGACTCAACTCTTCAGACACCACGGACCCCTCCCTAACTCTCCTGACATCAAAGACCCCTCCCTAAACAGAATCTCGAGCCAAATAAACCCTTCTCCTGTGAGTTGCTTTGGGTTATAACATTTTTTCACTACCGATACACTTAGAAAAACATTCAAATACAGAAAATCGGCAAAGAATAGCAAGAAAGGACTTAAAATCTCCAGATATTCTTCACCTTTGAGGAAAGAAGTATACCACTGAGGGTAAACATGCAGTCCCCTGAGTTTCCCGCAATATTCTACATTTTAAGTCATGTATATTTCTATGTGTTTATTTTATTGCTATTTAAGTGTACCAGGATACATCCATTGTAGTTGTGATACATTTTAAAATGATGGATGGTGAGGTGAGATTTTAGACACCTGGGTAAGATTATGAGAGCAGATAATAGGTCACATGGATAATGCCCAAACTATTTGGAATAAAGAACAATAATCTGGAAGTCTTTGCCCATGCTTTTTGACAAAGAGTGTCTTTGGAGATGAGCAAGGGTCATGAACTACTAAGGCATTCCCCCATGCTTCTACTGACTCTCAGACACAGTTCAGAAAGACTCTACACCAGCATGACCCAACAACCATCTGAATAAATTCTCTGTTCTCCCAACTGTATATCTACTGACAACGTCTTGACTGAAGAATTTTCTTTCTTTTCTAACAGTATTGGTGACAAATGAGTATTTTCTTCTGCCCTCCCTTTTACCGTCTTTTCACTGTTGTTAACGTTAATCCCACATGAGGTGCTGAGAGCCAAAGGTGAAGAGGCATGGACCACAGTGCTCATAGTAGATTCTGGATTGCATTTCTCTATTGTTGCCTTAATAGATTTCTACAAACCTAGCAACACAGAACAACAAAGGATATATTTCTTAAAAAGTCATACATGTATGTAGGTCTGACATCTTAGTGTATATTATTAGGAGACACACACACACATATTCTAACCAGTCAGCTAGTTAGACTGACAGAAGAAGTGCTCCTTTTGCCGGTTCCTCTTCCTAAGCACTGGAAGCATCACGGCATGGTCTACAAATCTGTCCTGGGATTTCCCATTCCCCCTCTGGGACAGTTGATCTTCACTGGAAACTTGAGAAATTCAGAATCACTATAGAAACACAATTGTGGATATGTCTACATGTGTGTTTCCAGAAAGTCTAAGGGAACTTGGAAGACTTGTCCTAAATGGGGACTGTGCCATTCCATGGGCTACAGTCCTGTACTGAAGAGGATAAAGCTAGCTGAACATCCGCATTCATCGGTCTTTCTGTTTCCTGACTGTAGAAACAACATCACTAGTTGCTGTGTGTTCCTGTCATGGCGGACTAACTGTTCCTTCTGACTGTGAGCGAAAGCAAAACCTTCCTTCCTTCAGCTACTTTTGTCAGATGTTTTGCCTCAGCAAAGAGAAGACTAACAGAGGCAATGGCCCTCTGCATTGATGTTAGATTGCTCTACAGATCTCATCATTCCTCAGTGTCACAGTCACTGCAAATGGTCTTCACAGCTCTTCTTCAACCATCACCCACACCTTTCATTCACTCAGCAAAGATCATGGTATAGGGATTAAAAAAAATGCTTCCAATGCAGGGGGACAAACTTGACCTGGGCTATTTGTCATTGCTAGCTTTAGAATCCTTTATTCAAACCTAATGGGGGATGTCCTTCTGTATATATGTTTCTCTTATTGGTTGATGAATAAAACACTGTTTGGCCAGGCAGATAGGCAGGACTAGGAGACGAGGAGAAATCTGGGAAAGGTAGGCAGAAGAGTCTGCCAGGGACAGTCGCCACTTAGACCACAAAGGAGTAGCAGTACGGACCCTTTTCCAGTAAGATAAGACTACGTGAAAATACATAGATTAATAGAAATGGGTTAATAATTAAGACAGAGCTAGTCAATAAAAAGCCCTACCCTTTGTCCAACGGTTTCATAATTAATGTAAGTCTTTGTGTTTATTTGGGGCTGAGAAAGGGTGGCAGGACCAGGCGGACAAGAAAACTCTGCAACAATACCCTACACCCATACTTCCATCACTGACCATTTCTATTTTACTGCTTTGCTAGTAGAAAACAACCTAAGTGCCCCTGGCCAGGTTGTGACTTATCCAATCCCTCTGTACCTACTGGAGGTCTGTAAGCATCTGATACCTTAGACTTCCTGTCCTGAAGAGACTCGGCAGGGTACGACTCACACCAGTCCCTCACCCTGGCACAATATCTCTCTAAGCAGGGAACAGTGTCATGTCTGTAGTTCATGAACTGGGAAAATTTTGGCCTTGAAAAATTACTGTTTGGCTAGGCAATGGTGGCACATGCCTTTGATCTCAGCATTCAGGGAAGCAGAAGCAGGTGAATCTCTGTGAGTTCAATGCCAGCCAAAGCTGCAAGCTACAATGAGAAGCCCTGTCTCAAAAAAGTAAGATAAAATAAAACAACAATATCAAACCAAAAGCTGTAGTTTCTTATAGTGATATGTTTCTGGTATCTGAGACTTGAATCTTGGAGCAGTCCTCTGTACTTTCTGTATTATTTTTCATGTTGAAGGAAGCCTGCAGTCTTTAAACCACCTCCCTTCTGTTTAAGAAAGGACTTGAGGGTTGGAATGAAGTAATATGCACATCAGCCAGCACATTAGCAACAGTAAATAATAACAAAAGTGTGTTATTCTGATTTCTTGCACACTAGCTCTGAAAAAGCTTTTTCTTATTTGTAATGAAATAATGATAATTAAAAAGAAAACCAGCACTCTTGTGTGACATATTTTGCCGCTGAATATGACTAGAAAATATGTCATTCTTTACACATCTGGGAATTTTTCTTGTTGAAACCAAGTCTCTAATGCCATCCTACCAAGAACTTAAAATAGAGACACAAATCTACAGCTGCAGAATGAGAAAATAATGCAAGTATATTTTTAAAAAAATGGAAAACTATTTGTGTAGTATATTTGCTTCAGTTTCCAAGTTATTGACAAGAAACAGAATATTATGACAGAGTAGATAGATTATAGCTTTGAAAATTCCATTGACTTCCAACAATAAATGTATTATAGAGTTATTTTGAAAAAATCTGGAAATCTATGTTTTTCCTTGGCAAAACTGAAATCATACACATGGATGCTTTAAAAAGAATCTCTCGTCTTTCTAATTTGATACACCTGTATAATTTTGTATTTTGTGCACTTGACAAATATGACATCCTTTTATTTCCTTAGACAAAAATCAATCCAGTTAACAAGGAGGACCCCAAGAGAAGAATGCATGGTCCCCCGAGAAGGGGAAGGTGACAGGATCTCCTGAGCTAATTGGGAGCATGGGGGTAGGGGAGAGGGAGGGGAGAAAGAGAGGGGGAAAAGAAGAGAGGAGGAAATGGGGGAACAGGAAGGTTGATGTGGGGGAAGAATAGAGGAGAGCAGGATGAGAGATACCATAATAGAGGGAGTCATTATAGGCTCGAGGAGAGACCTGGCGCTACAGAGATGTCCAGAGATCTACAAGGATGACACCAACTGGTAATCTGAGCAATAGTGGAGAGGCTACCCTAAGTGCCCTTCCCCTATAATGCGACTGATGACTACCTTATATGCCATCCTAGAGCCTTCATCCAGTAGCTGATGGAAGCAGAAGCAGACACCCACAGCTAAACACTGAACTGAACTCTGGAACTCAGTTGCAGAGAGGGAGGAGTGATGAGCAAAGAGATCAAGACCACACTGGTGAAACCCACTGCTCAGCTTACCTGAACAAGGGGGAGCTCAAGGGCCCCAGACTGATAGCTGGGAGGCCAGCACAGGACTGATTCAGATCCTTGAAAGTGGATGTCAGTGAGGAGGCCTCTGCACTCCATGGGGCCTCTGGTAGTGAATCAGTATTTATCCAGGGAGTAAGAAAGGACTTTGGGAGCTCATCCCATATGGACAGATACTTTCTCAGCCTAAACACATTGGGGAGGGCCTAGGCCCTGCCCAGGATGATATGACAGACTTTGGGGATCCCCCATGGAGGGCCTTACCCTCTCTGGGGAGCAGAGGGGGGATGGGTTGGGGGTTGGTGGATGTAGAGGAGTAGGGGAGGGAGGGGGGTCAGGGATTGACATGTGAAGCAGGCTTGTTTCTAATTTGAACTAATAAAACAATAATAAAAAAATCAATCCAGTTAGTGAAGAGTTAAATACATTTCAAAGGAAAAAAGCCCAAATAAAAAGAAACAAAACTTTGAAAGGATTGTCAAGACACATTGATTTCCAGAACCTTCTAGATATTCATTGGCAATTCAGTCCCTATAACTAGTGCTGTATCAGTTTCTTAGATTACTGGAAATCTCTGCAAATCTTCCTCTCTGGAGGGGAAGCAGTAGACTTTATTGGCCTTGAACCTATAGCCTCTTGAGATTCTCCAACACAACACAACAGTTCCTCCTTAGTTGTGCTTTTTCTTTTTTTGTGATTTCAATTACCCATCACCTCCTGTCCTAAAATACTAAATGGAAAATTCCAGAAACAATTATCCAATTAGCAAAAGTCTAAAAGTCTAAATTATACAGGAATATGGTTATAATTATTCAGCTTTATCATTAGTCATGATTAACTTCTTAGTAATACATAACTTAAATTTTATTGCAGACATATGTGCGTATAGTAAGATCTATGGTGCTCAGTAGCATCTGCAGTCTTAGGTATCCCACAGGCCTTGGGACACATTGCTCTTGTAAGAAGGGAATTCTATATCCAATTTCTATCAACAGATTATTTTTTCTTTGCCTCCTGATCCCCAAATGTGGTGGTTTCAATGTAATTGGCCCCCAAAAGCTCACTCATAAGGAGTGGCACTATTAGGAGGTGTGGTTTTTTGGAGTAGGTGTAACCTTGTTGGAGTGTTTCACTGTGGGGATGGGTTTTGAGGTCTCATATGTACTCACATGTCTCAGTTTTCTTCCTGTTGATTGAAGGTCAAGATGTTCGACTCTCAGCAACTTCTCCAGCACCAGGTCTGCCTGCGTGCCACCATGAGGATAATGGACTTAACCTCTGAAAATGTAAGCCACCCCAATCATATGTCTTTCCTTATATAAGAGTTGCCTTGGTCTTGGTGTCTCTTCATAGCAACAGAAACCTAAGACACCCCCCAGAATTCCATAATCCCACAATAATAAACTGCATGTGGGAAATTTAGTGTTATTTGTATAATATACACATATTACATTTTATTATCATGAATTCCCTTTGGGGTCAGCTCGTTTTCATTTCCAAGCATGTATGTATTAACTACCTACATGGACTTGACAGAAGAACTTCAGCCTTCCTATACAAAATCCAATACTTGGTTCTTCATTAGTGCTAGGTCTACATGACATCCTCAGCCTTGTAATTGTCTTGTTTCTGAACTTTGGACTTTAAAATTAAGTGTAAACAAACATGTATTTTAGCAGCTAAAGTGAATAGTGGCTTAATAGCTCAAGGAAAAGATTTGTAAGAGCCAACTGCACTAGAAGGTTTTTCTTCAGTGATCTATGGCTTTGGTAGCAGTCACTAATCCACCAAGAGAAGAAGAGGTGATAGATTTTTTTTTTCTTTTTCTTTTTTTGAGACAGGGTTTCTCTGTGGCTTTGGAGACTGTCCTGGAACTAGCTCTTGTAGACCAGACTGGTCTCAAACTCACAGAGATCCACCTGCCTCTGCCTCCTGAGTGCTGGGATTAAAGGCATGTACCACCAATGCCTGGTTGGATTTTTCTTTTGAACCAAACTCACTATTCTAGCCAAACATCAAATGTGGTAGAGAACACATAACTTGATACAAATAATTTACCAGACTATACTAACATCATTTGTAATTTAAAAACAAGAAGAAAAGCAAACACAGCCAACTTCATCTAAGAGGCAAACCAGTTCATATTCATGTATTTAAAAGAGTTTTGTTTTTACTTGCAATTTATCCCCTGCTGATGGTTGCTATTGCTACAGAAATTAAAAAAAAAAACAAAACCCCCCAAAATAACACCTGGGAAAACCAAATAAATCCCTATCCTTGGGCCCCACCCCTTTTGGCTTCCCCTTTATTAGGTCCTGAGGCCTGGCTGAGGTAGCTGGGTTTTTAAATCTCCCAGGTGTGGACAAGATTGAGAATGGCTGTGTCTGGCTATGAGGACTGAACTGTATGAATTTGCTTGCTCTCAATGACTGCATTGTGCGATATCAGAAAGACCAGTTTCTGTGGATGTGGGATGTATGAATCATAATTAGGCACTCTAAGTGCAAACCACAGCCCGGGTAGCGAACACCTGTGGAGGGGAGAATTAAAAATGAATGATGCCCTTTGTACCGTAATGATAATACATTCTACTCTCTGGGAAGCTATTAAAATATTCCTCTTAAGAATTTTTTCAAGTCTATTTTAAAGTGACACCAGAGAAAGTAATATGGAGTATTCCATAAGGCTCCCTACACTTAACCTGGCAGTGCTTTCTACGAAATATTTTGTTATTTTATTTATGCGTGCACCCTGCAGTGAAAGCAGGGAGGGATAGGAGTATGCCAGCCAAAGAAGCAGAGAAACAGCCTTCCCGTTTGCATTGCATCAAGCAAATCTGAGTTGGCCTAACTATGTCTTATTCTGCTTTTCAAATTTTGAGGTCTGTGGGATGCAGACATTTCATAAAAGTCTAGTGTCATTTAAATGATCATTTATGTCCTTAGAATATCCTCTGCTGAATTGTTCTTCTGCACACCCCTGGAGCCCAGGAGTGTAGTTTGTTTTCAGAGGAAATTCTACATGCACATCCTCCCCACAGGGGTTAGTAGAGTAGGGCAAGGAAGCAGTCCTAGCGATTCCATGTAATGAGGAAAACCTTTCCCCCTATGTGTATAATGATAGGTAATTGAATTAGTACAGTAGGGAAGGACTTGCTATTTCATACTCATAGTTTTTTCTTAACACCATGAAATTAAAGACACGCCAGCATGGAGCTTCATACTCCTGATCACTTTCAAATGTGCAGCATAGTATATTATTTCCTGTATGTGCTTTTACAGCACATGCTGGGCAAGATAATTGAGTCCATGACAGATGTCTGTATTACAGAAGGAAATTTATTTGTGAAAGAACAAGCGTGTATTACTTTTATCATAGGGCTATTCATTATGAGGCCCACAAGGTGCTTTTTTGACGACTTGTAAATTGAAATTAATATTTTCTCTTGTTGCTCTAAATATGCATAAGCAAGTTTGAGTGTTGGAGACAAGCAAGTCGCAGCTCATTCTTGTGTTTCAGCGTAGCTTTCTGTTCTTAATCAAGGCTGGGCACTCGTAGTTCATGCATGAAGTGTGGCACGAGAAATCATTTATTCTTTTTTCTTTTCAGGAAAGTCCACAGACCTACATGTTCCCCACGAGTTGAAGAATAAGTGCTGCCCACCACACCCATCCTCACAACAAAATGGCTATCAGATAGGGCTCAACCGAAGGGAAAAAGGAAGATTCTTCATGAGCCCATCTTTACTTACTTGTGCTCAGAATGTCACTCTTCCAAAACAAACTCCAGTGTGGTACAGCATCTGATGTCCCTAGCAGTTCTGTTGGAGATGTATTGGCTTGGAGGACTGGGTGAACACCAATCACAAGAGAGCAGACTGAGGAAACAATGTGTGTGTGTGTGTGGGGGGGGGTTACTGAGAAATCTGTGCTTCCATCCACTCTGAAACTGCCCAGGAGCACCGCTGCTCTCTGCAAACTAACCCTCTCATTCCTTTTTGAGACAGGGTTTCTCTGTGTAGCTCTGTAGACCTGGCTAGCCTCGAACTCACAGAGATTTGTCTGCCTCGCCCTCCGAAGTGCTGGGATTAAAAGCGTGGGCCACCACTGCCTGGCTAATGCTCTTATTCTTAGCTGATTTTTTTTTCCCACCGTGGAAAACAGTGGGACATTTTACCACTGTGGGCTGGCTAGCTGCACACCTTTTGCACTAAGTCTGCGCATACCATTAAAGTCAAATTAAACTGATAGACTATGACATCAGAAAGGATCCAAATTTAGTGTTATCTCTCTGGGGAGGGACTTTTCTCTCAAAGGGAAGAGCAGGTGTTAAGGTTGGCTTCTTATGGCTGGCCTGCATGCACACTGGCGTGCCCTGAAGCTGTAGCTCCCTGGTCACACTTGTTGGGTGGCTTCCCAAGGTGCTGGTGAGTTTGTTTGTCTGTTTGTTGATTTGTCAACTTGACAGAAAATAGAGTCATCGAGGAAGGAGACGCTCAAGGGGAGAACTGACCTCCTCAGATTGGCGCGTGGGGCATTTTTTTGACTTATTACTGACTGTGGGAAGGTGCAGCCCACTGTGGGTGATACCCCTCCAGAGCTACATCTGCAGCGACCCTCTTTCCAACAGCTCCCAGTCCTGCCCAATACAACTCTAGACATCTAAGCAGGTTACTTGGGAAGACTAGAGCTTAACTGGAGACCCAGAGTAGTTCAGGGCTGCAGCTGGAATGAGGAAAAGGTGAGCTGAAAGACGAAGTGGGACTCTGGGAGAAAGAAAGGACTTTGCAGGGAATAGGTGCCATGAACACTCACTCCTGTAGTCACTGCACAAGGGCACAGTCAAATACCACTTCAATTAAAAGCCTTTCGGTTGCTTGCGCGCACTACTAAGCCTCTCTAGTACACAGCATTCCTGACTGTAACTCATCCATCCCCATTTCAATTGCTTTGGGGGTGACACCCGGAGGGGGATGGTCTGGCTGACCTGTGTGCTTACTTTAGTGGCTGGCACAGGACTCTGCACACCAAAACTGACTGATCTTGAGGAGCAGGTGGAGGTGAGAAGTCAGGAGTTGAAAGTCTCTGGTCTTAGGGTACTGGCCCGAAAGCCGCCTGCAGCCTAAGCGTGTGGCCCAAATTCGGGGACCTGGCTGGGGAGGTAACTTCGAATGAAATTACACCTCTGCTACGGGTTCGAATCCAAGTGTCCTATCTCCCGGTGTACAGGGCCTGGCAGAGCCCCAACCCGGAGGGCGCAGAGGAGGGGGGGGGGGTCCCCGTTTACTCAGGAAACATCCTTGGAACCCGGAGCCGGGCAGAGAGCAGCTGGAACAACGTCCTCCGCCTCTCTCCACGCAGCTGGCTCGGCCACCGCACCGAGCCGGCCTGAAAGGACCCAGGACTCCGTCGCGTCCCCAGAGACGTTCGGGCCTGGCCGTCTCCAGGCTCTCGGGGGATCCTCAGGTGACTCGCAGCCCCTCGGGCTCGCACCGGACACCCGGCACGCGCTTCCCGGGCGCTGGGCTGGCAGGGAGGGCTGGAGGCGG